AGTGGTATTTTTGGTTCCCACTATTCAGGTACTTGCTATAACGTAACATATAAACCCTCTAATCGCAGGGACTTAACAGGATGGAGTTAAGTGTATTTCCCACTCATGTACCACTCCAATGTCCTGGTTGAGAGCGGTTTCACCCCCCAAGGTGATGTAGGGACCCAGGCTTCTTTCATCTTATGGCTTCACCATCCCCTGGGGCCTCCAAGTCCTCTGCTTCTACCTAGGCAACATGGGGAAGGCAAATCCACTTTTTAAACACCCTGGCCTGGGTGCAAAAAACATCTCTTTTGCTCACGTTCCATTACAGAGAACTAGTCTCATGGCCATCCTTGGATGCAAGGGAGTCTGGGAAATCTGTCCCCATCTGAGCAGCTGCCTGTCAGCTATGTAAGGAGAAGCGTGACGTTTTTCGAGGACGATTAGCTTCCTTCTGCCACAGTGAAGACTAAGCACTTTCTTACGCTGCTGTTTAATGTAAGATGTCCACCAGACAACATATTTAACTTAGAAATATCTTAAGTAACTTTTCAAAACCTCGTCTAGAAAAATGGAAGAATGGTATCAACCAACCCTAGGCATTGATTGACATAAGCTTGGAATAGGGGTAGGAGCAAAGCCTTAATGCTGACTGTAGTTACTGCTTGATCACAGACAACTTACTTAACCTCCTTGAGTAGTTTTATGTAGTTTCGTGATAATTAGAGGTGACATATATATGTAAAGGTCCTGGCAGACAGTAGATAATAGATAAATGATAACTGGTATTACTATGTTTTCTGAACAAAGATTTTTTCTTTTATCATTTTTCATTGGCACATAATCGTACATTTGATGGGGTACAATATGATATTTCTATATAGTATACAATGTGCAATGACCAAATCAGGGTTATTAGCGTATCTGTCACCTCAAACAAAAATCTGCTCTTCTAGGTATTTGAAAATATGCAATAAACTGTTAATTGTAGTCACCTCACAGTGTTATAGAACTGCAGTCCCCAACCCCAGGGCCATGGACGGTACCGTCATCAGTGGCGGCATTGGATTCTCGTAGGAGCACTAACCCTGCTGTGGACTGTGCATGCGAGGGATCTAGATTGCGCACTCTTTTGAGAGCCTGGCGCCTGATGACCTGGGGCGGTGCTCCCCAGCGGCTGCAAGTGCAGACTGTCACTCACAGAGAGGTTTGACGGTACAATGAATGTGGTGAACCTGGGTCATCCCGGGACCTCCCCGCCCCCATCCCTCCACCCCCACATCTGTGGAAGGATTGTCTTCCATGAAGTCAGTCCCTGGTGCCAAAAACTTGGGGATGGCTGCAAACACCAGAACTTGTTTCTCCTATCTAGCTGGAGTTTTGTATCCATGAACCAATCTCTGGCTATTCATCCCCCACCCGCCAGCCTCTAACAACCACTATTCTACTCTCCGCTTCTATGAGATCAACCCTTTTTTGCTTCTACATATGAGTGAGAACATGTGGTATTTGTCTCTCTATACCTGGCTTATTTCACTTAACATAATGTCCTCCAGCTCACCCATGTTGCCAGAACGACAGGATTTCTGAACAAAGATTTCTTGAGTAAGCAAACATACCTTCTTTCTTTTAAATTGCTTTGAAAACAGGAAGTGTAATGAAGGACAAGTAATGAGCCTTATGCAAATATAAGATGTAGGATAGTGTGGATGTCATACTTGCAAGTACAGATGTTATAACATCTATCCTGTATCCAGCTCAAAACCAGAAATCAGAGTCTAATCAAACGGTATGATTAAACTGCTCGTAATTGCCCAGAATTCTAGTAGGAGTCATGGAAGATGAAAAATAAGCATAATATTATTTTCCATGATTGACTGAGTGTATATATCACTTAATCCTTACACCAACCCTGTGGGACACATTATTGTTACCACCGCCATTAATACATATCTCGTTATCATCGTCATTTTGCAGATGGGAGAACTGAGTACTAGAGAGGGAAAATAATTGTCCAATATGGTCATAGTAAGTGGTGGAACAGGGATTTGAACAAAGCCAGTCTGACTCTAGAGCTCAAGCTCTTAATCAAGAAGCCTGGGCTCTTGTTGGGGGAAATGCTTTATCTATGTGAAAACACTCACACACAATGCGTGATAACATTGTGCTGAAGTGTGGTTCCAATTATAAATACTACGGGAATTCAGTCTGGAGAGCAACTCCCAGTGCACGGGCATAACTGTGTGCCAGGCATTGTACTGGGTGTTTCTCGTCCTTCCCAATTAAGGAGAGGCGGCACAGCATACATGGGAGGGGAAGAGCAGGAGCTTTGGAACCGGACAGGTAGCGTTTAAATCCTTGTGTGGCTATTGACAAGCTGTGCAATTTCAGGCGAGTTACTTAACCTTTTTGATACGGTTTCCTCAACTGAAAATAGGGGTTGTAACAGCTACCTTACAGAGAAGGGTTTACTGTCATAAAACGATACCCACATATGGTAGGTGCTGTTCATTCACCAGATACTGATTAAGTTCCACACACTTGGGAGTTGACACTGTGAGCCAGAATAAACCACGTTATGCTGCTGTACCAATACCCCAAATCTCACTGGTTTAACACAACAAAAGTTTAATATTCATTCACATTACTTTTCCAGTGCAGGCTGGCTGGGACTGTTCTACCATCTTTACCTAGAGACCCAGGCTGGCTTGGGGAAGCTCCAACTCTATATTGCCGTAATTGTCAAGATAGGAAAAAAAGGACATAGGGATTTGCCCACTAGCTCTTAAAAGTTTCCATGTGGAAGCAACATATACCACTTCTGCTCTCATTCTATTGGTCTAAGTAAGTCCTATGGCCACATCTAACTTCACGGGCATGGGCTGGTGGATTCCTACCACACCCCAGGGGAGGGAAAGAACTAGAAAATATTTGGTGAACAGTTTTAATTACCATTACAGACATGATCTGTTTACCTGTACAACAGATCTACTAATCCGTATCTTAAGGAAGAGGAAACTGATGCTCTGAGAGGTTAAGTCATTTGACCAAGGTCACACAGCCAATCCACTGGGGAGCCAGGACTCGACCCATATGCTACTCACTCTGATTCTTGAATCTACATGCACAATGTCTACCGACTCTGCAGAAAAGCAGAACACAGTTTCAGGATGTGGGCAGGGAGGCCCTGAAATATAGTGGACGGAACAGGAGTTAAATAAACATGGCCTTTGTGTTTGTATTACATGATTGCTCCTGGGGAAGGCAGGCAGGGACAGAGCGGTTTATGTCAAGCATTGGTAAAAGAAAAATTTGGCCAGATAAGAATACCAAGCACCAGTGTGCAGCAGAGGCAGCGTGTGGAGGACACGGTGGTGTTTCAGGCCATTACTCTGGCAGCAGGGAGGGGTGTCACCCGGAGGACGGGATGTTGCAGGAGTCCAGGGTAAGGTGATGAGAGGTAGACAGGAGTGAAGACGGCAGGAATGCAGAGAAAGGGATGAACCTGAGAGCTGCAGAAGAGATTCCGGCGAGGTTCACTGCTGGAAAAGTAAAGAACCGCCAGACGATTTGCAGAACACATCAGACACTCTTCACACTTCACTCTTCCTATCCCAGTCTGGTACATTGTACCATTTATACAAAAATTCCCTAAGGCCTCTTTTTCTCTCGCCTTCTTCCTTATTTTTCCTTGCCCTTCATTAGGAGAACGGGGACAGCCTCGCTGCGGTTGGAGGTCCTTTCTGCCTGACCCTCACGGTGTGGGGTAGGGCCCCTGTTACCACCGCCAGGATCTGTCCTTTCCAGTTAAAGGAAAAATCCCAAGGCCCAAAGGGGCCAAGAGGCCTGCAAGTTGCCTGTTGCTCGGCAAAGGGGTTGTTCAGCAGGCTTGGGGCCCGGATCCATCCCAGGTCCCCGGTGTGCCCACCTCCGATGGCGGCCTTCGCCGGCAGGGTGGGCGTCTCTGCGGACCCAGCTCTGTTCTGGCGCCTTTAGCGCCCCATCTCCTACAGGCACCCAACTCTCCTCCCCTCCAGGGCGGTTGTCCCCGCCGGGGTCCTAGATGGTGTCGGAGGGCCGGCGGTTCGGCGGCGGGTCCCGGGTTCAGCCTCAGGGCCTCACTTCGTCCCCGACTCCGCCTGTCTTCGGAAAGGGCACGGTGCCGGGGCCAAAGCGCTCCTCTTGGGGGTCCCCGGGGCGTGCAGTTGCCGCGGGCGGGCGCAGCCGTTCCCCAGCCAGAGGCGGGGGCCGCGAGGCGGGGATGCCAACCTAGGCAGGCGGGCGGGGGTGCGCACTGCGGCGGGAGGGGGCCGTGACTCACCGCCTGTAACCCAACACCGCCCTGCCGCCCCTCCCCCGCCTCTCCCCAGCTCCGGCCTGGCTGCCGCGGCGACACCTAAAAGAAAATGAAGGGGCGCCCGGGCCCGTGGCGCCCCCGGCCGGATCGCGAGCAGGCCCCGGCGGCCGCCGGCTCGGAGTGCTCCCGCTTTCCGGGCTCCGGGGCTCAGCGAGCCGCCGCCGCCGCCGCCCGGACGCGTGCAGGCACCGAGGCCCAGCGGCCGAAGCGGGAGCGGGCGGCGGCGGCAGCTCCGGCGGGCCCGCGGTAGCTGCGGCGGGCGAGTCCGGGAGCGCCCGGGGAGGAGGCGCCTGGGCTTGGATCCCCCTGGTCCCCGTCCGGCCGAGCGAGGACAAAGCCCCCCTGGCCGCCACCGCCCCGGCCTCCGCCGCGCCGCACAAAGGGCGAGTTGCGACACGCACCCATCCCCCTCCCAGTCGGGGTGGCCCCCGGCCGCGGGTGGCGGCGGGGAGGTGGGGGAAGCCCCGGCCACGCCGCCCCTCGCTCCCCCTCCCCCGGGGCCGCGCGAGCGCCGTCCCCGCCCCCACCGCGTCTGCGCGTCCTCCCGGGGAGGGGCTGGGGGGGCGCGGCGCCCCGCATAACACTCCCCGTTCTGCGCTCGGAGCCGCCCCTCTCCCCTCCCTCCTGCAAACACCACCGCCTCCCCTGCCACCGCCGCCACCTCGCCCGACGCGCCGCAGCTCGCCGCGGCCAGGGGGCGGTGCGCGGACCGTGCGCACCGGGGGCGCCAGATGTGGAGTCCCCGCCGCCGCCAGTGACCAAGCCGCAGCCCGAGCGGGATCGGGCCGCCTCACCAATGCTGCGGGGGCGACACTGAGCGCACCCAGGCTTCCCTCGGCTGGGACCCCGACACCCCGAGTACTGTGCCCGGTCCTGTCGTCTGCAGCCCGGCTCGCCCGGTGTTTGGACATGGAACGGGCCGCTGCGCCCGCGGCGGGGGACGGCCCCGATTTGGGGCCGGGGGCGCCGGGCTCTCCCCGGGAGGCGGGGGTGGGGGCGACTGCAGCCCCCGCAGCGGCGGCGGCCCCGGAGCCCAGGAAGCCGCACGGGGTGAAGCGGCATCACCACAAGCACAACTTGAAGCACCGCTACGAGCTGCAGGAGACCCTGGGCAAAGGCACCTATGGCAAAGTCAAGAGGGCCACTGAGAGGTTTTCTGGCCGAGTGGTGAGTGGGGAAATCCCGGGGGGACGCCGGCTAGACGCGGCTTGGGACCCAGGGCGTGCGGGGCGGGGGTCTACGCGCCCTGGGGCTCTCTTGATAGCGAAGGGGCTCCTCGGGACCCCCCCCAGACAGACTCCTCACTCTCCCCCCAGCACCCCGTGACTCAGGCGTGTCTCTCTCTCTCAACACTTGTTACATCCTGTCTGCACATTTTTTTCCCTCAAAATTGATGCCCCAGCAAAGTAATGTTTTAGAATTTGCAAACACTTTGCAGCGTTGGGACTATCGGGGTCTTCCTTACGGGCACACATGGTCTGAATGACCATGCCCCGGAACGCCTTATTTCCACAACTCCAAAGACCCACGTCGTCCTCAGCTCAGAGCTGGTCCTTCAAGTCCCATGTCCTGTAGGTGTCCCTACCCTGCTGCTTCTACCCACCTACCCACAGACACTCTGTATCCTCCTACTTAGACTCGCCATCACCCTGGTGCTGTTGTGGCTGCAAGGGAGGGCAGATTCCTGCCTGTTTTTAAGAGAGAAGGTTAGGGAGCAAAAATAAGGGCCACTGCAAGCTTGAGGATTGTGACAGTTTGCGTCTGTCTGGCTTCTGGGATAACTGAAATGCTCAGGGCATGGGTAGCTGTGCAGAACGCTGCGCTGAGTTGCAGCAGATTCAATTGCGTTTCAGGCCCTGGCTGCAGGGCTACTAAATTGCTTTGAGGGTCTGGCCCAGCTGCCCCTGTGACAGCTGAAACCCTGCCAGGGTCCCAGCACCATTTGCACAGTTCCAAGGAGTGCATTGAGTGCTCTGGGGTCTCTCTGCATTGGCCTGGCCTTGGTTTGTTGTCATTTGCCTTTCTGCAGAACAGGGCCTTGAAATCCACACTGCTTGTGGCTAGAGAGTTGGGTTCAAAGTGACTGACTGTTGCAGAAAGATTTTGTGTGGTGTGTGGCGGAAAATTAACATGGTTCTTTGATTTGAAGCAGATCAGATGTATTTTAATGGATTTAGGGCCAAAGTCAGAAACTCATTATGGGACTCCTCGTGTGCACTTTTGGGGGTGTTTTGGGGTCCAGGGTTGCTTATAAACTTCATAAATGACTTCAGGGACAAAGCAAAATGAATTGTCAAATAAAATGGTAGTTTGGTATTGACATTTTTCTATTGCATTTGTGCTGGGACAGTCTTATGGAAAATGGGGACCTGTCAGCAAAGTTCAGCCCCCCAATTGTCAAATATATGGATACCTAGATAAGCCCCTCATTTTTTAGATTGATGTTTGGGTTGATGCAACTTTATCTTATAACTTTTTTTTAAAAGTCTATTATCAATTAATTGGAAATTTAAGATGTATCTTTTTTTTTTTAAAGCTGCCTCTGTAATAAACAAATTCTACAGCAAGCAAGTGGTTGAGAATTCACTCTGGGCAGGTGCCATTTTTGTAGGTTGAAAATTTTAGAGGAGATGGTTGGAAAGATGTCTTCTGCTGAACGTGCTCTCAGGTTTGTGAAAGAAGAGGCTGAGGAACGTGCACTTCATTCATGCTTTTCTTCTGAGGTGATATTCCCCAGGCTGGATGTTGAATAAGCAAAAACTAAGCTCAGCTCCTTGCTCGTGTTGTCTTAATAGCTGTTGAAGAATCGCGCTGGGAAGTTGGGAAGCAGAATAATGAAAAACAGACGCAGTTCGCGCTGCAGGTTGAGGATGTGAGAATGTGAGAGGTTGCTGAGTGGTAAAGGTGTGTCTGGGGTCTGTGAAGGGACCCCAACATCTAAATGCTGGGGAGCTGCCTCAGACTGAAAGAATGAAAGCCTGTCTTATGGCAGATGCTTTTCTGAGCTTCAGTGGGGCTTCCTGTCTGGTCTCCTCCTAGCTGTCTGGTCCACAGACTAGGTTAGAGTGAGAGGGACTTGCATCAGTAGGCAGGAGCCTGCCTTTCTCTTCTGGTGGGTGTCTGTCTTTTTGCAGAAACGCTGAACATTCCGTTCGGAGTTAGTCAGACGGCCAGTAGGGGGCGCCCTGAGAACGAGAGAGGCTTATTTCTCAGCCGCAAGACTGAAATCCCGCTGTGTTATTGTCCCGCCCTAGTTCATTTTCCCATTGTGCTGTTAATTTCAGCTAAATCTCTTGTTTTACCCCAAAATTATGTAAAGATTTTGAAGCTGGCAGCAGACCCAGGCCGAGGAACTGGCAGTCCCCAACCTGCTTCATTTCTGCTTTCTCCTTGAGAGCTAAGCTTAGCATAGGAGCAAGATCCTCCGGTGAAAACCTTGCATTAAACAGATGGGAAGACTGAGGTTTGGATGAAGGGAAGTCCTCCTTGGCCCGGAGTCGTCCCCCTGCTGAGCACACTGCTCACAGATGGTGTCAAACTTAAGTGAGAAACAGGAATTGTCAAGTGGAAAATTTCCTGTGCCTGGCTGAACAGAAAGTAACACAAAACAAAAAATTGGTCAGCAAGTTATTCTTGCCCATATAGTGCCTGATGACTCAGAATCTGTCAAGAGCAGCAAGAAATTTTCATCTCAAGTATGAACTTGGGAGTTTTCTTCCAGTTCTAGTGATGCACTAAACATCTACAACTTGCTCTGGATTCAGAAGTGATGCTTTATTTTTGTTTGCACCAGTGCCTTTTACAATGTCCCTTAAGAGGAGCAGTGGTTCTAAATGGCTTTGCCAGGGCGAGTGGCTGAAGTCAGGTGCCAGGTATCATGTGAAATCAGCATTCCTGTCCAAAGCAGGGGCCCTGCTCAGAGAGGAGAGAAGTTTCTAAAAAATGAAGATGTTGTGGCTTTAACTTGCACATCTGGAAGGGCCTTTTGCATAAAACCCTCTCAGGAGAGTTGCAGAGTCAGGAGCTTGGGGTCAGCTGGTCCATTCCTCTGCATGGTCCAGGGATGCTCCTGAGGTCTCACAGCCACTGCTTAAGCATCTCCGTGAGACAAGGACTCGAAAGTGGCTTGTTCCAGAGACTAACAAGCCCAACAATGAGGCACTCTTACAGAAAGGCCAAGAGCCCTGGATCTATCCCTTCTTAGCTTAGTGACTTTGCGCAAGCTATGTAACTTTTTGAAACCCCAGCTTCCTTGTCTGTAGAATGAACTACAAATAGCATCAACTTCATGGACTTGTGAGAATTGAATAAAATAATCCATATAAAGCCTCAAAAGGGGAAATTAACCAATTTAGTTCCTCCTTTTGTCAGATTTTTTTTTTTTTCTCATCTCATTTAGGATTTCATTTAGATTTTAAGACCATCGGAGAGACACAATCACACAGAGAGAGGTAGAGGAAATAATCGAGTTTTCAGGGTAATTAACGTAAATGCTACATTAATTAGGGAGGTGTACTCATAGGAAGGTGAGATAGTTGGCCAGATTCAGACAGGATCTGAACACATGTCTAAAGTCTAGCATTTGGGCCTTGTTTATTGCACAACTTTTGTTTTGATACAGCTTTGGGCAGGGCCTCTGTGTCATAACATGGCATGCATTTTCTTTGAGCCAAACTCCCTGAACCTTCAGATTGAACAAAGCATTGCCAAAAAATCCAAAACCAAAACCACACAACTTCTGGGGGAGAGGTATCATGTGATCACCTCAGTGTCAAGGGCCAGGTTCACCTTTCTCTCTGCACAGGTTATCTCTTGTGAGCAATATATGGTGTGGTGTGAGCTGGAGGCAAGGTCCCAGGGAAGGGTCTGGGATGGGAGTGGCAGGACCCGTGGGCAGAGTGTCCCCTCCCCAACCCTCAGTCTGCCATGGTGCTCCTGGCCAGCAGAGCACTAGCTTGGGTGATGGGGTATCCTTACCTAGCAAGCCAAGTGATTTTATCAAAAATGGGTATTTTAGGAGAGATAGGAACACTCATACACTGCTGGTGGGACTGCAAACTAGTGCAACCTCTGTGGAAAGCAATATGGAGATACCTTAAAGAGATACGAGTAGAAGTACCATTTGATCCAGCAATCCCATTACTGGGCATCTACCCAAAAGAACAAATGATACTCTATAAGAAAGACACCTGCACCCGAATGTTTATAGCAGCACAATTCACAATTGCAAAGATGTGGAAACAACCCAAGTGTCCATCAATACATGAGTGGATTAATAAAATGTGGTATATGTATACCATGGAGTACTATTCGGCTTTAAGAAATGGTGATATAGCACCTCTTGTATACTCCTGGATAGAACTGAAACGCATTCTACTAAGTGAAGTATCCCAAGAATGGAAAAACAAGCACTACATGTACTCACCATCAAATTGGTATTAGCTGATCAACATATAAGTGTACATATAAGAATAACATCTACTGGATGTCGGGCAGTGGGGAGGGAGGGGAAGGAGGGAGGAGGGGACGGGTATATGCATACACAAAGAGTACAATGCGCACCATCTGAGGCATGGACACGCTTGAAACTCGGACTTGGGGGGAGTAGGGGGGTCAAGGGCAACATATGTAACCTAAACATCTGTACCCCCATAATATGCTGAAATAAAAAAAATAAATAAATAAAAAATAAAAGGCAAAAAAAAAAAAAGTGGGTATTTTAAGCACTGGCCCAAAGTTACTCATGGCCTCATGCTGGAAAACCATAGGTCAGGGAGACAACTTAGCAACCTGTCCTGCCAAGCCAGGGAGTGTGTGGACATGATATGCATGGTAGCTGAAGTGCCGTGTTGCAGCTAAGGCCCAAACCCAGTTTCGGAGTGTAAGGGGCCTCTGCAAACATGTGGTCCAAACTTCTCATCCTCGAGGTGGGAAAAATAAGGCACAGAGTGTTAAATGGCTTTTCTGAGGTTGCACAGCTGTTAAGTGACTGAGCTGGGTGGAAGACACATGATTCTTAGTTTGGTATTTTTCCATCACTCATTTAATAAATCTTTCCTAGAGCAAGACATAGGCCTCACTCTTAAAGAACTTACAATCTAGTAGCAAAGATGAAATGTGCTTACAAATATTGAACTAATTTCAATCAGTTCAACAAAGATTTATTA